CACTTGAACCCAAGAGGCAGAGGCTGCAGTGAGCCAAGATTACGCCACTGCCCTCTGGCCTGGCGACAGAGCGAAACTCTGTCAAAAAGAGAAAAAGGGGGTAGTCAAAAAATTAAACAGAAACATTAGTTATTAGAGCAAAATTTTAAAAATATGCAACTGTTTAAACACATTAATAAGATCCATATTCAAGTAGTAAAACGATCCTATTTTGTCACTGAAATAGCTTTACAAAATATTGATAAATTAAGTAAAATGAGGGTTTGAAACAATATGTGCACTTTGTGTCACAAGCCAGGTACACCCCAGAGCAGGGGGTGGAGGGCCTGAGGCATACAAGGGACCTATTAGAGATAAACCTATGAGAAAAGCAAGCAGAAACAAGCCTGAGCAGAGGGAGAAGTCAAAACAGGATGCAGGCTCAGTGAAACCTCAGCCCGCCAGCCAGGATGCCAGAACACACATCACCCCTCAGAGGTGGCTGGGCCAACAAGAGGTGGCCAGATCTTTATATCCAGGCCTCAGGCACATGAGGGGGCTCCCCAGGGAAGGCCCTAAAACACTGGGGGCGCTCTCTTTGGCTCAGGCACACCCTGAAGCAGCCAGCCAGACACTAAACAAACTCCCACAACTGGACAGCAAGTCCTCCCGAAGGGGGATCCAGGCAGCACATCTCTGCATCCACCACATTCTCATACTGTATTTGTTTTCAGGAAATAAATTGCACCTATCTATACAATAAAAAATAAGTATACGGAATCCATAGGTGTAAATATTTATAAGACAATTAGAAATGCAAGAAAATGGTTGCAGTAAATAAATATTTAAATTGCTGGGATAGGCCCGGCACAGTGGCTCACACCAGTAATCCCAGCACTTTGGGAGGCCAAGGCGAGCGGATCACCTGAGGTCAGGAGTTCGAGACCAGCCTGGCCAACATGGTGAAACCCCTGCCTCTACTAAAAATACAAAATTAGCCAAGCATGGTGGTGCATGCCTGTAATCCCAGCTACTTCGGAGGCTGAGGCAGGAGAATCACTTGAACCCGGGAGATGGAGGTTGCAGGAAGTTGAGATCACATCATTGCACTTCAGAGCAAGACTCTGTCTCAATAAATAAATTCCTGGGATAAATCCCACTTGGTCATTTTGTATAGTTGAGGTTCTCAGGACAAACGAAACCAATACGCAGGTGGAAAAACCCTTATCTGAAATGTTTTGGATTTCGAATTTTTTCGGGTTATCGAATATTATTTACACATAGGTTATGAGATGTCCTGAGGTGAGACCCAAGTCTAAACTTCCTGGACAAGCAGGAAGAGCCCGGCTCAGACCCCTCGGGGAGCCCCCACTGCCGTGCCCCCTGGGCCTCCTTCTTCCCTCCGAGCTGTGCCCCACACCTCCCTGAGCCCCAGGGCTGCCCTCCTGGAGGCTGCCCAGACCCTCACTCGACACAGTCCTGTCCTTCCTTCCCCTCCCTCACCTCTCCCCGAGCAAGACTCACGGGAGGAGGCTGGTCCCCCAGGCAGGCCACCTGGATCCTCCAGCGGCACCGTGACGCCCCCGCGGCCGCCCATGGGTGGGGTCCGCCGCACCACCTTTCGCGAACTGGGGCGCGCGCCTCTCCTCCCAGCCTTCACTCCGGTCGCCTAGTTCTCTCCGATCGCCTTCCCACTTCTTTCCCTGTAAACTCCACTTTTCTCTGCCGTCGAAATGTTCTTAAAATGAGTTAGCTCCGCGTACTGGTGCAGCAGCCTTCGGAGCTGGGCTGAAGTCCCGGGCGGCCCGGCTGGGGCGGGGGCGGGGCTATGCAAATGAGTCCTCCCTTCAGCCCGGGAGGGGCGGCGCCTTGGGTTCGCTGCGCGTCTCCCCGCTTTCTGCGTCCCTTCCTTGAACCCTGGGTTTCTTCCCGGTCCTGCCTGCTCTGGCCCCATTCTTCCTTTTTCTTGCTAATTCTCTCCCCTTTCTCTCTTGCGTTTTCCACCCCGAATAAGACGGGTTCGCTCGCGTTTCGATCATAAAAGGCGCCTCTCTAAAGGAGGCGACCTCGCCCGCAGGACCCCGCCCGCGTCCCTCCGGCCTCGCCTGCTCCCACCCGTCAGCGCCCGGAACCCTCTGCGAACACTAGCGTGGGGAGCACAGCCGCCCCTTCCCAGGTCTCCTTCCTGTCTGCGGACGCGGATCTCGGGAGGAGTTCCTGGCACACCCGCGCCCTTTTAGGTTTGTGAATTGGTGGGTGGCGCCCTGTTCTCCCTCCCACCGACCCTAAGCAATGGCTGCTTCGAATGGAAACGAGCACGTGGTGATAGAGCCTGCTTCCGGCGATGATGCAGGAAAATGGCTCCTCGCATATGTTACAGGAGGAAACATGTTCCAGCCATTTTTTGGAAAAGGATTTTCCAACGGCAAATAGCATTAAAATACATCCACCCTCACACCCAGTCATCTAATTCCTTAGGGTTATGGCCATAGATTTAAGACCTTAAAAGTTAAAGATGATGGGAGGTTGCTTAGGTGAAGGATGCACCTAAGGCCCTGACTTCACAACGCAATATATGGTAGCAAAATTGCACTTGTATCCCATGAATACATGCAAATAAAAAAGAAATTAAAAAAACTAAGACCTTAGGGTTAGGATTTGGGTTAGTGCCTCTGAGTTAAGGTTAGCCAGGTTCTAAAAGAATGTGCAAGATCTCTGCCCACTTTCTGGCACAGCTCTCCTGGGTGTGTTCTTAAGGGAGGAATGACGCAGAAAACTGCACAGTTTACAATCTCATTCCTGTAAAATAAGTGGTGACCAACTTCTCTCTCTCTTCTATGTTTCGACGTACACATTCTCACTGGAATGTTTTAACATCAGATAAAAGGCAGGGAGAGGACAGAAAGAGAAGAGGATTTTTAAGCTGAATTTTGAAAGAGGCACCCACCTCTTTTGATCCCACTGATCTCACAAAGAAACAATCACTGGTCCATAACCCCCTGGTTCCTGGACCCATTGAGCCCTAATTCCTGGAGACCTCAAAATACTGATCCCTCCTGTGTCAATCAGACTTCCATAACCCCCAAGAGTAGAATAGTTCAGACCGCAAATTGCTGACACCCGTAGACTCAGAATTCCTGAAACCAGTGGCCCCTAATGAGTCACCCCAATGGCCCCTAATTAACTTAAGAAATGCCCATTCACTGCTCCACCATCTCCCAAATTCATCCATCATAAAATCAAGTTAGGATATTCCCTGTGCTGAGGAGAGGAAATCCAAAGCCCTAAGCTGTGAGCTCTGTCACTCCTCATCCCTTTGGTAGCCATTCCATCCACTGCCACCATCTTTAAACATTCTGACTTTGCCGGAGCAAAAGACTCTTCCAGTATTTTTACATCACACACATGAGACAGGAGTGAAGGCTTTAACGAGATTTTTACCAAAGGCTCTGGGTTAACACATGAAGTGGAAATAGCAGGAAGCTTGGTCATTTGAATGAGAAGATAAGGCCCTGTTGCTTCCAAGTGTCCAGCCTGCCCACAAGTGGTGGTACCATCTTAGTGCCCCCAAAGCGATAAATATTCCCTCTCTTGCCTGGCTCTCACTCCCCCTTTTAGTATCCAGTCATACATCCTTGGACACATTAAAGTGTAAGATGATGAATACAAATGGTATCCACATCTGTCAGGAAAGAGCCACACCCAGCCCCTCCTGGTCACAACAGACAAAGTGGCACATGAAACAAAGCACAGCAGCCCAGAACATGAGCAGAAGGCCTCTGAAGACAGCTCACACACACAGAAGCCAGGGTGCCACGTTCCTGAAAGAGAGCTTTTGGAGAAGGCAGTGGCAGGGCCTCTGTCCCAGGTCAGCCCCTGGCCTGTTCAGAAGGCTGCTGCTCTAGGGAGCTCAGAGTCTCTACTTGTGCTAGACACTCCCATTGCACTTCAGTCCTGTGGAATTTGGCTAATGTCTGATGAGTCATCTGTCCTGTCCTAAGACCCTGAGCTTCAGGCCAGCCTGCTGTGCATCTGTCTGATGGCTGCTTGGGAAGGAGGAGTCTGGCCATAGCCAGAGTCCGGATTCCCTGGTGTTCCCACCACTGGTACCACAGCCCGGCCTCAGCTGTGGGAAACAAACACCAGGCTCTGACCTGAAGCAGTAAGGGCCATGCCATTCCCCAGTGAGTAAGACAAGCCCAAGGCAGGCTGCTGTGGAATCCCTCCCGCTCCAAACCCATGAAGGGGCTTCTGGAGGATGGTTAGGGTGGAATCATTTTTTCTCTCTACCTAACACCGTCCTCCCCTCACCAGATCTGCCCCTGCCCTAGTCTAGAACACTTAGCCCTCCTCCAGCTCTGTCCTCACGGAGCACTGGGTCCCTGGTGCTGGTGGCCCATCTTGCCTCAGACACTCAACAGCCTTCCCCTCCTCTTCAGGGATTTGTCTTGGATTCAGGCCCTGTACTCTCTTCTTGAGCTATGAGCTCTGCCCTGTGGCTCCCGTTATCCCGGAGCAGGAAACTAAGTTGCATTTGAGGGGAGAAGTGTAGCTGAACTCACAGACGGCTGGAAAGGGGAGAGCTGATGGGAAGAGGTGGAGTGCTGGGGAACAGGCAAAAGAGAGGATAGTGGATATGCACCCTGTCATCTCCCCAGCCTCACGTATCTGACTTGAACACCCGTGGACGCAGGGGCAGATGTGGAAGCCGATGGTGCCAATGCAAGCGCTCTAATGCATGATGCTCTGAACACACATACAGAAGCTCCTGTGGCATGACACTGCAAGAGTGGCTCTGAGGGGAGGGAAGAGGCTTCCCTCCAACCTTGAGGAAGGGGACTGAGGAGCACCCTGAGCCAGCAGCCTCAACCGACACAGGACCATTCTCCTGATGGGCAAGGGAGACGGTGGATTCTCTAAGGGGCTGTGAGGGCGTAGCTGGGGCCAACCAGAGGTAGTCATAATAAGAGATAGCATGCTCCAAACACTTTAGTATAAATCAGACATGGCAATTGCACTCTAGATGATTATTTTATTTAAGTATCAAAATGGCCCTACATGGAATGGGATATTGCACTGCACGTGCAGGGTATGGACTGGGGCTCTGGTTTGAGGGCCAGCTCACATGCAGGGGAGTCATGTGGTTGTCCTCAAGCTATCTAATTGGTCTGCATCTCAGCTCCATCATCTGTAAAAGACAAAAAAGCAGTGATCATGAAAAGAGAAGTAAAATGGGTAATGAATACAAGGCACTGGATGTCACAGAAGATGTACGTAAGCATTGTAACTCTTACTTGTCATGCTTATCCCCATCTTATTTATAAGAAATAGTGGATCAGTATCTTACCCAAGGCACACACTGGTATGTACAAGAGCTAACATTTGAATGACAGACTTCCTGACACCAGAACACAAAATCTTACCCAAAGAAATGTATTTGCCCAACAGACCCAAAATTTGCAGTGTCAACTGGGTGCCACGGCTCACACATGTAATCCCAGCACTTTGGGAGGCTGAGGAGGGGTGGATCACTTGAGGCCAGAAGTTCAAGACCAGCCTGGCCAACATGGCAAAGCCTCAACTCTACAAAAAAAATTTTTTTTAATTAGCTGGCTGTGGAGGCATGCACCTGTAGTTCCCACCCCACTCGGGAGGCTGATGCAGAGAATTGCTTGAACCCAGGAAGCAGAGGTTGCAGTGAGCCAAGATTGTGCCACACACTCCAGCATGGGTGACAGAGCAAGACTCCATCTCAAAAAAAAAGAAAGAAAGAAAAGAAAAAGAAAAAATCCAATCCCTGCCGTTTTATTGAATTTGTAAATCTATTTACATGTAATGTAATTATGGCCATGGTTGGACTTAACTTTTCAATTTTGCTACTTATTTTCTATTTTCTATTTGCCTCAAGTCTTCTTTCCTTTTGCTCCTCTGTTCCTCCGGTATTATCTTTGTTTGTGCTAAATAGGTTTTTTGGTGTATCTATTTAATCCACCCATTTTGAACTTTTTTAAGCAAATAAAGGGATGGATTAAAATTTTTAAAATGGAAAAAGTTGCCAATTGCAAACAGTATCCATAGGGGAGCTGAAGTAACAATAGCAGTATTTGGAAAAGCTGACGTTATGGCTAAAAATATTTCTACAGAGACAAAGATTTCTTAATGATTAAAAGATCAATAATCAGGAAGATTTAATAATTTAAAACTTACACACAGCTAACAACTGGGCCCCAACATCCGTGAAGCCAAAACTGACAGAATTGATGTATGAAATAGACAATACAGTCAAACATTTTAAGCCCTGTGAATAAATGTGAACCTGAAGGAGACAGTCCTTCAAGATGTATCCCAAGTGGCTAACTGGGCCAAAATTTAAAATAATGCCAAGCAAACATTTGCAGAGTAGCAGTCACACACTCGTGAGTATCCCAAAAATCCACACGTTTTATCTTTGAGACTTTCAGAGCTCAAAAATTTGTAAAAGATTAAACTTGTCTAAAGATGCGGTTTCCTAACACACATCATGCAACATCTGGCCCACAGAGCAGTCAAGTGAGCCCGTAAAAAGCAGAGGAAGAGGCCCGTGCATGGGCTGCCATTCCATGGGCTCAAACCCACAGAAATCAGGAGTCGGCACCTAGAGCAGTAACACTGCTGTCCCATTAGCTGGGTCCCAGGAAACCATGCATGTAAATCAATTCCTCCACTGTTCATTCAAATAGCAAAGACACAAGAATACTCAGTAAATAAACAAAAAGTAGTGTGTGTGTGTGTGTGTGTGTGTGTGTGTGTGTGTCAGAAAGATTGACAAGGGCCAAATTAAGCAAATGGAGAGGTAGGAAGAGGCAACCACACTATCAGTGGGTGTCCTGCCTGCTCCTGCCTGGAGGAAAACTGGTCCAAAGTTCCCCTTTTCTGTTGCAAGAATCCTGACTCTGGGGTCAGCCAGCTTAACAACCTCCAGCCACTCAACCTTCTGGGTGCACCTAGCAGAAAAGAGGATGTGAATGGACGTTGTCCCTCTGGGGGTGTTAACTACCTTGGGGAAAGGGGGTGGGGAGGATGGGAGCTTCCCTGGGCTGGGAGGGTCCCCTGGACTCCCTTCAAGAGCATAGCTGGACTCATGATAGTCTACTAGACTGCCAAGGAACCAGCGAAGGCCAAGCAGCAAGGTACTGGGGAACAGATCCCCCCTAGTGGGCCTGGGGGAGGGAACAAATTTCTTCAAGGCAAGCCAGGCCAGACCCAGGTTGGGGAGAACCAAGCCAAACAGCCCATAGAGGCAGCCAGCCACTCCTCCCCAGCACATTATGGGAGGCTCTGGGCCTGGGAGTTCTGCATCTTCCTGAAGCTGTTCAGCTGTCACATTGCTGGACTGGAGAGGGCGCTGGCGCAGAAAGCCAGGGAAGCAGGCAAGGTGGAGTAACACGAAGGCTGAAAGGCGCTCCAGTCGGAAATGGAGTCGGAAATGGCCTCCTTCTTACCATTCAAGGCCTAATTGATCCACTGGATCGCGGCTCTCTGCTCTAAATCAAGGTCTTCCGCAGTGACTCGATAACAGAACTGGGGGAGCGCCGGCAGGGCCATAGGGTCATTTCTTCTGTAGGGCCGCAGCAGAGGAATCCTGCGTCTTTGGGGCCAGGAACCATCAGATGGAGCTCCACAATCCCTCAGGTTTTGTTTCTCCCCCGAGGAAGCATCTGCAACTGTTTCATGGTCGATCGTCCCTGGTGGTTCCACAGGGGCCGAAGAAGAGCTAGCCAAATGTCTTCCTCCCTGGCTTCCTTTTCATGCGCCTGGGAACCGGGTGGGGCTGGGCACGGCGACTCCAGGGTGCCTGGGCCGTTTCCCCCCTGCAGAGGTGGGGAGCCTCGAATGGAACTGGATGAGCTGGTGATGGCATTGCGTTTGCTGCATGAGCTCACGGAGGAGGTCTGGGATTTCCTAATCAGACTGTTTGCCGAGCTCTTAGAACAGAAGTCTCTCTGCAGAGGCCCAGGCCTGGCCGCAAAGGAAGCGAGGAGGCCCCTGACCATCAGGCGCCGAAATGGCGACTGTGCGGTCCCGCTGTCCTGGGAGCCCAGCGGGGGGTCGCCCTGCCTTTCCGGGAGCGCGGGTCCCTCCTCGTCCTTGGCGAGCGCTTTCCCACCCTCCCTGCAGAAGGCCAGGTCCTTTTCTTCCTTGGCTCTCACTTGACTGCTCGCTTTCAGGGTCCCAGTCTCCTTCGCGCAGGGGATTGAGAGAGGTGGCCGGCCAGTGAGGACCATATAGACACCACTGACTGCTCCAGGGCCAAGTGGAGCGTCAGCTGGCCCCCAGCCGAGGCCATCTCCAGATCACCGAGGTACACGGCATCCTGGAGCCAGAGGCTGGCAGCGCTGGTTTCTCATGGCCGCTCCAGGGCGCTGGGGAAAAGACCCCAGAAATAACCACTGGGACTGCCCCGCGGGATAGTGCTGCCTGTAGCCCGCAACGCACGCCCGCGGGTGCTGACGACAGGGCCCCCACGAGGGCCTCGCACAGCGGCCTGCGAGGCAGCTTCAGGCACCGCGCCGCCCAGTAGGCCCGGGAGGCTTGCGGAGCGCACTTCCGCACAGTGGGCTCCCTGCAGTGGGGTCGGCGGCGGGGAGAGGGTGCAGTTGGCTGCCGAAGCAGCCTACGAGGATGCGCGCGCTGTCGGGAGCGCGCACTGCTGGGTGACGCCGCCCTGGAGCGCGTGAACGGAGGAAGGGCGCGCACTGGGACGTCTCCCTGACGCTGCCGACGAAGGTGCGGGCGCAAGGGGATGGGCGCTGCAGGGGGATGGGCGCTGAGTAGGCGCGGGGCGGTGGTCCCCGAGTCGGAGAACGGGAACCGCAGGGCGCGGGGCTGCAGGCTGAGCAGCGTCCACGCAAGGCTGAAGCCTAGGGGTGGGCGCCTGCACCTGTGCGTGTGCCAGACCTTTCCCCCGAACACGCAGGGAGAGACTCTCCGAAGCCAGGAGCTGACGAGTCCCGCTGGACCGGAGATACCCCGGCGCAGGGCGGCGCGGCCGCGCAGGGGGTGTCCAGGCGGGAGGACTCTGGTGTGGAAGGCACCAGGAGATCGTCAGAGCCCAGCGGTTGCCCCATTCTCTGCTCATCCCAGGGACTTTGTGTAACCCAACATGTCAAAGGTTGCACATTAATGAGATCTACAAACAGCTTGTAAAATACGGGCGTTTGACTTTAAGCCATTTTATTAACTGACTTCGCAGTCTAGGCAGTGCAGTGAGACCCCGCCTTCACAAAAACTAAAAAATTAGCCGGCCGTGGGGCGCGTGCCTGTGGTCCCAACTACTCAGGAGGCTGAGGCAGGAGGAGCTGAGCCTGCAGAGGTCGAGGCTGCAGTGCGCCAAGATCGTGTACACTGCATTCTAGCCTGGGCAACAGAGCGAGACCCTGTCTCAACATTAATAGTAATAATTAATAATAATGAATAAATAATACTGACTTCTCAACCTTCCGAATTTTTGTGCCTGCTGTGCTTCAAAGACCTTTCTAAAGTGAAATAAGAGAAAAATTCATGGTAGAGGTTGATATGAATGGAATTATCTTAGGTGTTTAGAGGGAATTCTAAAACTTATTTAAAATTATATTAAATATTTAAATTATTAAATGTTTAAATGTGTAATTAAAATATTAAGTATTAATTGGACAAATTGCATACTCAATTTAAAATAAATCATGGATACTTTAAAGTAAAATATAATTATGTTTTTGTTATTCTTCAAATGCCACCTTGAATAGTTTTCAACCATAATTTTTTAAACAGCTTCATTGAGGTACAATCTACATACTACAAAATTTACCCATTTTAAGACTACACTGCAAGGATTTTTAGTAACTTTACAAAGTCTGTAACTTTCACCAAAGTCTTACTTTTATAGCATTTCTATTTGCCTAAGAAGAAAATTCAATGCCTGTTTGCACAGCCACTCCCTATTCTCACCCACAGGCCCTGGGAACAACTAATGCACTGTCTGTCTCTATAAATTTGTCTTTCTTCAACATTTCTTACAAGTGGACTCTTACAGGCTGGGCGCGGTGGCTCACACGTGTAATCCCAGCACTTAGAGAGTTCTACAAGACTGTTTGAATCCGGGATTGAGACTAACCTGGGCATCATAGCAAGAACCTTGTCTCTACAAAAACATAAAATAAACAAATTAGTCGTGCGTGCTGGTGCACACCGGTAGTCCCATCTTCTAGGGAGATTGAGGTGGGAGAATCACTTGAGCCCATGGAGGGGGGCGGGTCGAGGCTGCAGTGAGCCATCATTGTGCCACTGCACTCCAGACTAGTCGACAGACCAAGATTCTGTCTCTAAAAATCCAGGCAAACAAACAAAAAACATAGCACATTCCTTGGAGGGAAGCCAATAGATTTTACAGGAGCAAAAACCTCTTTCTCATTCACCCCCTCTACCCTAGTGCCTGCCACGTGGGAGGAAAATAAATAACTGTGGAATGAATAAGTAAATACATGCACAGAGCACTCTGCACAGAGGCTGGCTTGGTTGCCCATCAAGTACAACCATCACGCCTGGAGCTGTCACCTGCTCTGAAGACAGGTTCTCTTCTCTAGGTACAAGCATCCCATCACAGGTGGAAAAGAAGAAGGCTGGCTCTCTAGCCACATAGAGGTGGCCACAGCTTTCCTGTAACGAAGCTCGAATTTCTACTGGTGTGCTCTTATTTTCTATAGACATAAATTATGTGAATTTGAAATTGCATGCCAAAAACTGCTCATAAAGCCTCACTTTGTGCGCAATTTTTGAAGATAATGCGTCTCACTTCATTTTTTTTTTTTTTTTTTTAATTACTTGGAGGAGTGATCCTGAAGATGACAGGTCTTCGGCACGTGGACACATGGCACAATATGGCCACATGGTGGCGCCATGCAAGCAGTCAGCAAATAGCTCTGTCACTTGCCTTTTCACTCAACGAGACCTCGTGGCCATCTCTCCACCTCAGCACACAAAGACCGACCCCTCCGCTCCATGGCCTCTGGGAGTCCACTCTGCGAAGTCAGTTATGTGACCAAATCCCCTCTTGGGGCTTTCCTCCCTCACATAAATGTGGAGGTTCTGACATTTACACACTACAACTCAGAGGCACAGAAGTTCTTTGTGCATCATTGAATGAAATTGCTATCGACACCATCCCTCATTTCCACAGATAGTGTCAACAAACAAACTCATGCCTACAGTTTGTTCAGCTGTTTCTAGATTAGATCTGAGAGGCTCAAGGCTAGCAGGGCTCCCGTGGGTCAATGCCTGGTCTGTCCAGGTTCCCCCCACCCTCACTGTCTCCCTGCCTCTCTGAGTGATCTAAGTCTGGACGTTGCACAGGCTCTTCAAAGTTCACTGTCCAGCACCAGGTAGGGTTGAGGTCTCTGTCTTTGACCATGGCAGTATGGCCGCCTGATGCTCTACCAGGCCGCCACTGCAGGGTGTGTACTGAGGGGACTGGCCCAGAGATTCCTCTCCAGCCTGCCCAGCCTGCACTGAGCAGGGCTTTCTCTGGGAGGCGTCCTCGGGCCTATCACTGCAGGCATGTCCCTTGGCCCTTGGATGCCTGCTCTCCCTAGCCAGGTGCTCCTGCGCTGTGCAGGATGTGGGGTTCTGTGCAGGGCTCACATGATAAGCCCCAAGCACACAAAGCACTGCCTCCACGCCCTGAGATGTCCTCCACCTACTGTCGCACGCACGCCTTGTGTCTTCCTGGGCCAAGGCCCAAGTACTTGGCACACAGAGTCCCTTAGAGGCCCCAGGCCTCCTGCTCCTAGAGTCCTGTCTCATTCTCCTCTTCCTGTCTACCTGTGGCATGCACAACTTTCCCAGGGGAAATGGCTCATAGGCCATAGCTGCTTCCTTTCCTACTTTGTGGCTTCACTTGGTAAACTCTGTGGTCTGAGTACTCCAAGTTTGACTTTTTCAGAGTTCAAAGCAAAACCGTTTCTTTGTCTAACACCTGACACTTGCAAATCAAGAGTCTTTCAGTTTTTAGGATGTTTTCTCTGCTCTGCACTTTGGAACATTTAATCTGAAATTCATTGAATCATTGATCCTTTGTGATCCTCCTCTGCTTCCCATCCTCCAGCAGGCTAACCTAGTTATGTACATATGGCAATGGCAGTGTTATAAGACTGTAAAGGGACAAAGTCTTCACATTGTCACTTTTGCTGAATTAAATTAACTTGGCTAAAGTAAGAGGCTGTTTCATTTTCAAAGAGAGGAGAAATTGACTTCAATTTTTTTCTTTTCTCTGTCTGGAGTGCAGTGTCATGATCTCAGCTCACAGCAACCTCCATGTCCTGGGTTTAAGCAATTCTCCTGTCTCAACCTCCCAGGTAGCTGGGATTACAGCCACCACATCTGGCTAATTTTTATTCATTTATTTATTTATTTTTGAGATGGAGTCTCAGTCTGTCACCAGGCTGGAGTGCAGTCGTGCAATCTTGGCTCACTGCAACCTCTGCCTTCCAGATTCAAGCGATTCTCCTGCCTCAGTCTCCCTAGTAGCTGGGACTACAGGCACGCAACACCACACCCAGCTAATTTTTGTATTTTTAGTAGAGATGGGGTTTCACCATGTTGGCCAGGATGGTCTGAATCTCCTGACCTCGTGATCTGCCCACCTCAGCCTCCCAAAGTGCTGGGATTATAGGCGTGAGCCACCACACCTGGCCCTTGACTTCAGTTCTTAACAGGAGAAGCTACAAACACACATTGTAAAGTGCATGAATATACGGAGAAGTAAGGCATGGTGGCCGTCTTTGCCATCTACCACATTAATAGAAGAGAAAGAAAAAGGCCAGGTGCCGTGGCTCACGCCTGTAATCCCAGGACTTTGGGAGGCCAAGGCAGGTGGATCACAAGGTCAGGAGATTGAGACCATCCTGGTCAACATGGTGAAACTCCATCTCTACTAAAATACAAAAAATTAGCCAGGCATGGTGGCACACACCTGTAGTCCAGCTACTCGGGAGGCTGAGGCAGGGGAATCACTTGAACCCAGGGTGGGGGGGGCCAGAGGTTTCAGTGAGCCGAAATCATGCTACTGCACTCCAGCTGGGCCACAGAGCAAAACTCCATCTCAAAAAAAGAAAACAAACAAAAAAAAAGCAGTGATTANAAAAAAAAAAAAACTTGATGGATCCATAAAAAGTAAGAAAGAAGAAATAAATGAACAACAGAATGATGAAACAAATAGAAAACAAATAGAAACCCTATCACTACTAAAAATACAAAAATTAGGGGCAAGGCACAATAGCTGATGCCTGTAATCTCAGCATTTTGGGAGACAGAGGCGAGCAGATCACCTGAGGACAGGAGTTTGAGGCCAGCCTGACCAAAATGGAGAAACCCCACCTCTACTAACAATACAAAATTAACCAGGTGTGGCAGTGCATACCTGTAATCCCAGATACTCAGGAGGCTGAGGAAGGAGAATGGCTTGAACCCTGGAGGCACAGGTTTCAGTGAGCCAAGATTACGCCATTGCACTCCAGCCTCGGCGACAAGAGCAAAACTCCATCTCAAAAAAGAAAAAAAAGTTAGCTGAATGTGGTGGTCGGCGCCTGTAATCCCAGCTACTTGGGAGGCTGAGGTAGGAGAATCACTTGAACCCAGGAGGCAGAGGTTGCAGTGAGCCAAGATTGTGCCATAGCACTCCAGCCTGGGCAACAAGAGTGAGACTCCATCACAAAAAAACAAAAAACAAAAATTGGTTGGGTGTTGTGGTGGGCGCCTGTAATCCCAGCTACTCAGGAGGCTGAGGCAGGAGAATCGCTCGAACTTGGGAGGCAGAGATTGCAGTGAGTCAAGGTGGCACCATGCATTCCAGCCTGGGTGACAAGAGCAAAACTCCGTCTCAAAATAAATAAATAAATATTGGAGTTTTATCCAATGCAGTGATGTATTACAGGAAATTTGAGCATAATGTGACGTTTGCATTTGTTCATGCATGATTTCATTTGCAAAAACACTAAGTGAATGCAGAAAATTATGCCCAGTCAAGCTGATGACGCAATGTAGAAGTACACAGAAAGCACACATGCACACACTTCCAGCACCTACCAGCCACCTGACTTTACTGTGTGTGTTACGAGCCACAGCCATGCATATTTGGCAGGACAAACTTCCGCCCCATCCAATTTCAGATAACCGCCCTTCCACCACTTCACAGTAAACCATAAGCTATAGCCAGTCACAAAAAAACTAACATATTATATGATTTCATTTGTATAAAATGTCCAGAGTAAGAAAATATGTAGTAAGTAGATTACTGGTTGCTTCTTTTTTTCCTTTGGTATTTTTAGTAGAGATGGAGTTTCATCATGTTGGCCGGGCTGGTCTGGAACGCCTGACCTTGTGATTCGCCTAGGCTTCCCAAAGTGCTGGGTGTAACCTTAAGGTCTTCTCAGGCCTTTTCTGAAACGAGACCTTCCCCTGGGCATGCTTGGTAACTTTCTAATTTCCCCTGTATATGCAGTTGCTTTTGAATGTCCAACTTTTTAACGTCTGGCTCCAAGAAGGGGAAATAGAGAGAAATTAAGGGGGAGAAAAACACCAGTTCTTTAAGTCCCCTGGAAGTCACTTTAGCCAGCAAGGGAGGGTCTTGTAACAATGGGAGAAGGTCCAACAACCAAGGCTGCTACCTCTCTGTCTGTACTTCTGTAATCAGGTGAAGCAATCAGTGATCAGAACAGATACTCAGTATCTGGAGGACAGGGTCTCTTATGCCTACCGTGGCTCTGTAAGCTGCTCCAGGAACATGTGCACAGCTGCCTGCTGTGGGGATGAGAGGTGGAGAACAGGCAGCTGCAACTGTGCTGAGAGCTGACTGACCAGAATTAACCACAGTTTACCATCCGAGTCTTTTCCTGGAAGCTGCAGGTCTTCAGTGGACTTCAGAGTTCCAAAATAGACAGATTCTGTCAGTGTTATTGTCTAGACAAAGAGAGAGATTTCTCGGGCTTCCTGCGCCTCCATCTTCCCAGAATTCTCTTCTTGGTGATTCTAAGACCGTTCACCAGGGGAAGAAATGGCCTCCCCGACAAATGGTGCTGGTATCACTGGACAGCCACAAGCAATGAAGTTGAAACTTTACCTCACACTATAGACAAAAATAACTCAAAATGGATCAGAAATTAACACAAGGCCTAAATGTAAAAGCGAAAATACAAACTTTTGAGGAAAACAAAGTAGTAAATCTTCATTTGCCAATGAAAGCTTAGCTAGGGCATGAAAATTGCGTACAAGAAAAGAAAAAAATAGGTAAGTTGGACATCAAAGTTAAGACATTTTTGTGCATCAAAGGACATTATACATTTTTTAAAAAAACCCATGGAATGAGATAAAATATTTACAAATCCAATGTCTGTTAAGGGACTTTATCTAGAATCTATACAGCACTGTTACAACTCAATGATAAAAAGACCACAAATACCCCAATTAAACATGGGCAAAGGATCTTAATAATTTCTCCAAAGAAGATATGCAAATGGCCAGATAAGCACACTAAAACATGCTCAGCCTCATTTTCCACCAAGGAAATGCAAATATAAGCTACGAGATACCACTTTACTCCTACTAGGATGACCATAATCAAAACAAAGGAAAATAAACATTGTTGGCAAAGATGTGGAGAAATTAGAGTTCTCATATACTGCTGGTGGGAATGTGAAATGGTGCAGTCACTTTAGAAACGTTATGATGCTTCCTCAAAATGTTAAACATCGAGTTACCATAGGACCCAGCAATTTCACTTGCAGGCATATGTATATCCAGGAGACATGAAAATGTAGATCCACACAGAAATGTGTACACAATATTTATAGCGTCATTATTCAGAATAGCCCAAAGATGGAAACAATTCAAATGTCCATCAACTAGTGAATGGATAACACGTGGTATATTCACACAGTGGAATATTCTCACATGATATGAAATGAAGTATAACACAGATGAATCTTGAAAACATCATGTTAATTGGGCCAGACACAGTGGCTCATGCCTATAATCCCAGCACTTTGGGAGGTCGAGGCGGGTAGATCATGAGGTCAGGAGTTTGAGACCAGCCTGGCCACGATGGTGAACCCTCATCTCTACCAAAAATACAAAAATTAGCCAAGGCTCAGTGGTAATCCCAGCTACTCAGGAGGCTGAGGCAGGAGAATCCCTTGAACCCGGGGAAAAAAAAGAAAAAAATTCCCAACAAAATACTGGCAAACTGAATTCAGCAGCATATTAAAAAGACTATACAGCATGACCAAGTAAGATTTATTGCTGAATTGTAAGGATAGTTCAACATGACCGGACACAGTGATTCATGCCTGTAATCCCAGCACCTTGGGAGGCCAACACGGGAGGATCACTTGAGCCCAGAAGTTCAAGACCATCCTG